GGGCGCTTTGACAAGTCCCATATACAACTGTGTGTTGTACTGAGTGAAATGACTGAAAAGGAACGTAAGGTTATGAATATAARCACGGTTCCTTGAAGGAATGGAACGAAGTACAACAACTTGTTGGCCCCGCATCACAAAAGGTTCGGTGAAGGGCGGTATCTGAGTAATGACGCTGGTGACTCCGAACTTATAGGGTGAAGGCGGAGCCTGTCACCCGACGTTCAAAGTCACCACGTCACCGGTCTAAAGACGTGATTAGAGGTGGCTTCAGCCAGGCGCGCGAGGGCACGCTTGTCCCATGTACAACTGTGTGTTGTACTTCGTTCCATTCCTTCAAGGTTATATTCATAACCTTTTGTTTTTACACTTCTCTGAAACATTCGACTCTTATTCTGAAATTCTCTACTAAAGGGTTTCACCTTCAAACTAACAAACGCAGCAATGAAGAGCTGTTTGGTGTATTTAGTTATATGGACCATCATGCTTTACAGGTTGTGTCTTGCTATTTGTAAAGTAAAATCTTTTCACGTCCAGTTTATGGGATAAAATTCTAAACTTAAACACAATGAAAGTTTATGAGATTTTGGATTCTGCATTTTGGGAAAATGTGAGAGAAAACCCCAAGTTCTAAAGCAATGTAAGACCTACTGGGTAAAAGAGAACACATACATCTGTGTTTTGGTGTATAAACTGTATTAGAAGTGTGAAGGTTGTGGGAATAGTAAAGCTTGATAATAAAAAAAATTTAGAAATATTTGCTGGTGTTCTTTAAAATCTGCTGTTGGTTATCTCAGAAACATTTTGTCTTTTTGGCAATAATATGCTACATTTTTGYGCCAGTGTGTTAATGGGTTGTATAATTATGTGGCAGAACAACCTTTAAGGTGAGTCATCACAATCTGCTGGCTTCTTTAGACTGATTGTTCTATTTTTTGTACAGTGCCATGAGACAACGCTTATTGTGACTGGGTGCTATATAAATAAACCTAAGTCAATTTACTTGAAGTGCTAGTTAGGCTGAATTAAATAATACTTTAATAGTCTCAGAAAATAAATTACTTTGTTGTGTATGAAAAARGAATAAAATACATAGAAGAAGAAGAGAAGCTAAATGTAGTGACAGAGAAGAGTGTCAGCCCACCTTGTGAACCACCAAAACGTCACGGTGGAAAGAAAGCCTGCGGTGGTTTCAGGACAGGGATTCTGAAAAGAAACATACATTTTCATGTGAAAAAGAAAAAAAAAACAGGTCAAGATAGTTCAATGTCAGTAAATCTGTGTAAGCTAATCTGTGTGAGGAGCCAGCAGCCACAGAATTCTCTGTGAGTGAAGAAGTCGACAGTAAACTCGTGCTTTCAGCTGCTCACAGACTGAACTTCAGCAGTGTTTCCTCTAAATTACTGGCCTTGTGGGGGTGGGGGTAGATTTGATTGTGGTGCACGGTGGGGGGATTGAGTGTTCAACGAGAAAGAATATAAACAGTAACAATACATTTAACAAGATACATATAATAATTTTTTTTAACTAGATATCGCATAGCGGTAACATAATGACCCCCACACGCACAAATGCACCAGAACTCAGAAGTCTTTATTCCTAATAAATGTCATGCTACTAGATGCATCCCAAAATGTAGTGGTTTGGGTGGGGGGTCTTTTTTTGGTTGACCTGATGGATAGCCTCTAATCAGAGCTGAATGACAAAAAAAATCTTAAGCTCCTATGTTTAACAGTTCTTGAGCAATAACCATTTTTGTATGTCCAGATACCCCTTTTTCAGATAAATTGGGGGT